TGAAAAGATGATAACTTTCTGATGTTTTTTGATTATTTCTTTTACCACAGATCGACTCGGACTGCACTTTCCTTCCTTTGGAAAAATTTCCGTTATGCTCTTACGAAGAATATCGATTTGACCGCTTATGTGCAATACCTAAAATATACATTTCTTTCAACTGCTATACTTATAGAGGTAGCAAGAAAGAATATTGAATGTATAGATTAAATTTATGCAGCACAAAATCTTTTAAAACTTTTTAGCGAAATTGCTAAAAAATTATTTCTATATATAAGCGCTCTTTTTCGCATATAGTCGGCAATACGCACATGTACATTCTATTAATTCAGTTAATAATATAATTGATAAAATATCAAGAAATTAATATTTACATATAATAGAATTAATAAATAACACTTATAATGATATGATAATAATTTTTTTTTGTGTAATTGAAACTCACCAGATTTATGAGAAGAGCATTTAATAAACCGACTGCTTCAGCACACAATATCAAATGTAGAAATTGAACAATTATGACCGATTCATATACAAATCTTCGATTAACGTCAAATGGCAAATCCATCTCAAGAATGAGTATTGGTGTGGAAATGTTGGAGGCTATTTCATCATCCGCGCGTTTTACGAAGATATCACTGCTAAAAAAAATTATCGATATCAAATAGAGAATCACCGTCATGTTAGCAAAGCGCTGCGACAGTTTGGCATTGTACGTCGTCGCTGACATACTGAATTTCGTGTTGGATCTATTTTCCCAGTCGATCGCCATCATCGTTAATATACTGTTGAACGTTCTAAGAGAATATTTTCATTGATCATAATCGTGATAACGGCTGCAACGAAGAGTTTTACGAACCATCGGTGAAAAATTGATTGTTGTGCAATAACTTTACCCATGCAAGTCCGCTCGTTTCTTTCTTATGTAAAATAGATAATTTATTACAGTATATTGTCTTTGGTTTTGCTTTGTCACAATTTTCACTTTTTTAATTTATGTTATCGACCAACGCATTAGCAAATATTGAAGTCTATTTTACCAAAAGTAATTGTTAAAATGTAATATTAAATGTATTTAACAAACTTAATTTTGTTGAATTATATAATTAGATGTAATTAAATATAATTAAGTTAAATAATACTTAAACTTAATTTTTCACCGATAGTGCGTATCACTATGTGTCGTTGCGTATCTCACCGTTGCTTATACCAAAAAATAACAAGTTTAATGAAAAATATCGTATACGTCATTGCTGAACTCAAAACTTTCATTATGTCAAGAATCTCGGATAATTCGAAATGCATTATGATATATCGATATTGATAGACTTGCTCGATTATGAGCATGACGGTCCAGAACAGTCTACGTAATAAAATGCACGATGTAGTCGGCCACATGCCAAAAATTCTTAAAAAAATTTCTATCGCTTTGCTAACTGTATTCTCCACTTTCATATTTCACTTATTATTATTTTTCTATTGCTCTGCAAAGTTAACGTGTGTATCGATTCTGATAAGAGAACTTTAATCGGTGTTATGATCAGCACCTAATCGACTATACGATATGCACATAGTGGTATCTCTGTACAGACTGAAAGCTTCGTAAAGCTTCGTAAAGAGAGCAAGAGTGGGGTTTACTCCCTCCCTTTCCCCAAGAGCCGAAGCTTATTAAATATTTTGATCGCAACGTGCATAGATTGCGTGTACTATTGTCGATGAAGAGAAAAAAAGTTTCCGGGTGGCTGACCTCTCCCTCTCGAATTCTTGGGCAAAACGATGGTGTAGCGCGCACTGCATTATTTTCTTTAAAAATTCAAGCAACAGCAACAATGCGTGAATATACACAGGTCATTGAACTGTAAAAGTTTTGTATTTGCGTGCGTAGGGGAGAATTTTTCGAGAAAGAAAGAAGATGGAAGAGGCGAAAGTTTTTCTTACCGAGATTTTGTTTCCTTAATATCGAAAGATATTCTTTCTCGCGCATTACAGTGAGTGCGGAAAATTGTGCACGCGTTCACAACTTATCGAGCAACTTATTCTCTCGAAATATATAAATCGCGCAATTTTGAGTGAGAGTTTGGTGCACGTCAGATACAGGTTATAGGCAATAATCGTCAAATAGAAAGCCAGAAGCAAGAGACGGGGAAACAAAGTGCTGAGTGAAGTATTATATTTCAGTATCAAAGGCGTTCCTAACAAACAACAAGCATAAAATAAGCTTTGAGAAGACATCACAAAATATGCAAAGAGCTTTTCTTAATTTTTTAAATAGGACTGTTTCTTAGGCATCATATTGTTTGTACATTACGAAAATCTAAAGAAATATCCGATTATGCGAGAAAGGCATTTGTTTTGTAATATTTTTGTAGATATTTTATTTTACAGATGAAAGGAAAATAAATTAATGAAATTATATATTATAAACAAATATCAATCTTATGTAAGCACATAAAGTATTAATAATAATAATATTTTTAATATTGTTATTACTGTGATACTTTTATTATTCATTTAATAACTAATATACTATTACCTTATGCTACTCCGCTAAATCCTATCAGGATAATATTATACAATCATAATATTATAGAGATTGATCTTAATATTCAGTTCATCGCCGACATAAAAAACTATGATAACTAATACAGCAACGTTTTTACTTTAAATCATATGCAAATTTTACTGCAACTAAACCAGCTGTTAATTCTCATTAAAATGTTGATGTAAATAGAATGCAGTTTCGCTTTAATACATCGCAAGTAGAATCGATAAGTAAGAAGCCGAAGTCTTTATAATCTGTAACAGAATCATTTGATTTATTATAAGAATATTAATGCAGAATTTATAAATATTTAAATTCAATGTAAAAACTATTTGTTATCTGACTCATTTTAATAATATAACAAAATAACTCGACTTAATAATTTAGTAAGGTGAGTATTGCAGCAAATATAATTTAATATTATGTAAAATAAATATATAAAAATACAAATATTGAATAAAAAATTATATATAGTACATTACAAAAATTAATTGGTAGCAATATTCTATATTTTAAGAAGAATTTTTCATTTGTTATTAATTCTGGATAATTATGGCAAAACAATTTTAATATAAAATGAAATCATATAAAATTAATAAAAAGTTTTGCGTACAAAACAAATTTAAGATAAAACTTACATTGCTAAATTGCTCTAGAGATAAATTCATTATCTTTCCAACTGTAATGGTTAATTGATTTTGCGATCTCAATATTAAGAGCAATATATTTCGACTATCTTTGGAATCTAATTCATACCAGGTGGAATCATATGCAGCATCTCCAATGCTTTTACTCTATTGAATGGTGGATCTTGTATCTTTCAGAAACAATTACGTAACGTTCTGCTTTTATGTATATGTATGTATAACATTAGTCCCAATGTCTAACCTTAGTGCTCAAATATTCTCCAGCGAAACAAAATATGAACGCTTCCGAATTCATAAGAAAGTAAAATAAGACAGTCTTGATTATACTGTTGAAAGCATCGGGTCGACCAATCGACTACAATTTTAAGAAACATTCTAAGAGCAAGGGAAAAGTCATAAAATGATGAATAATCAAAGTCACGCGAATAAATATCTTTTATTCTGTAGATTTATCAGAGCGGGTTCTGTAGTATATATTTTTCTCTTAACCGCAGAATTAATTAAAATCTTACCGTGACCATTGTAAAACTCAAGCA